CCTGGGGAAGCCTGGCTCCCAGGCCCAGGTGACAGGTGTGGCCCTGGTCACTGCTCTGACCTGGAGCTACATAGATCAAGCAGCTGTCCCAGGCCAGAGACCAAACTGGCCGCCTGGCCGCCTGCTGGGAGGGGAACGCCCAGGGCCACAGGCACAAGAAGGGCACCCAAGAGTCCCCAAGAGGCAGCCAGCAAGCCCCGGGGTCTTTGGCCAGGTGACGTGGCCTTGGCGCTTTCCCTCCAGTCTCGGGCTTCCAGGGCGCACCTGGCCAGCGGAATGCCAGGCCTGCCCGGGGCTGAGGGGCCTGCAGCCAGCGGCTGACCTCGCTGAGCTGCTCCTCCGTTGGAAGGCGGGTGGGGGTGAGCTGAGGCGGGTCACCTCACCCAGCCCTGGACACGGAGGGGGTGGCCGCGGTCACCCTGCAGGGGCCCTTCCTCCCCTGCACGCCCCAAGCACCCAGCACGTGCGCGGCTCGGCAGCGCTTCGTGAGCACGGGGGCCCTGCGGGCTCTTCCTGCGGCTCCCTGACCTGCCGCCCTCATTTTGCTGGACCGGGCAACGCAGGGACAGAGAACCCCAGGGGCTCCCCGGCGGCCAGGGTGGAGGGAAGGGACCGGAAACCAGGCTCCCTCGTGTCCCCCTCTCTCCAGACAGCAGCCGCTCCTCTGTCCTCCTGGAGGCCCTGTGGGGGGACCCTGGGCACCTCGGTGCCCACATCCCCGAGGGCGGCTGGAGGAGGGACAGGCTGGGCCCAAGCACCCGGGGGAGCAGCCCTGCTGGGTGGCCCCCGACTCCCAGGGACGCTCCTTACGCAGGACTGAGACGAAGCTGCTCCTGTCGGCCAGGATCCACACGCCGAAGCCCAGGATGACCGCACCCAGGATCTGGAAGGACAAAGGGCAGTTAATAGGGGACCCGAGAGGGTAGGGGGACAGGGCCCTGCCCAGCTGCCCGGGGTCCAGGGGAGGAAGGGTGGGGGCACCAAGGCTGCCACCTCCTCCTGCCCTGCCCAGGGGTGCCAAGATGGCCGGACCCCAGCCACAGACGCAAGACCACAGACCGGGGGCGTCCCTGCCT